TGTACATTGCATTTTTCTATTCCAAATTAGTATTAATGATTGTACCAAGAAGTGGCTGTCCTAAAATGAATAAATTTCTTCTTTGTATTTTTAATCATTGAGATTATAGCTATCATTATATCATTGAGAAGTAATTTAATTCTGTTATATATGCAGACTTTCTAAAGAAGATAAAGCCTTTTTGTGGGAAAAACGTTATTATTGCCTCAAATACCCAAATTGTCTTCCTAAAGTACTAGCAAGTGCCCCAAACTGGAAATGGGTTAATCTTGCCAAAACTTACTCACTGCTTCAGCAGTGGCCTCCATTGCACCCACTGACTGCGCTGGAACTACTTGATTCAAAGTAAGTTAGCTATGACTGAGTATACTTGCTCTATTTTATTGTTTTGTAGCAAGTTTTTTTCCTCTATTTTATTGTTGTCAGTTTTTCCAGTCAGGTGTATTATGTTGCAGGAGAACTTTCCTTTGTTTTAACATGAAAGCAATTTAGTGCAATAGAAATGTATAAACATATATTTTTGCAAACATACTTTTTGTGCTAAGTTTATTAAAAAGAGATGTCTATGGCTGAGTCCGTAGAACATGGGACTCTTGATCTCCGGGAGGTCATGAGTTTAAGCCCCACGTTGGGTGTAGAGTTTACTTTTAAAACAAATTAGAGGGATCCCTGGGTGGCTCAGTGGTTTGGCGCCTGCCTTTGGCCCAGAGCGCGATCCTGGAGTCCCGGGATCGAGTTCCACGTCGGGCTCCTGGCATGGGACCTCCTTCTCCCTCTGCCTGTGTCTCTGCCTCTCTCTCTCCCCCTGTCTATCATGAATAAATAAATAAATAAATCTTTAAAAATAAATAAGTAAATAAAAACAAATTAGAAAAAGAATAGAGATGTCATACCATCTAAAACTAACCAGAAGAGAGAATTAAATTCTAAATTTTGAATGATTTGTTATTTTATGATGTGAGTCAAAATTTTCATAAGCTCAAGGTTTCTGAACAGTCCTGAAGTTGAATTTGTATAGTACAGCAAGATTTTCTTCCTGAAAAAAAAAAAAGAAGAAGAAACACATTGCTTTTGAATAAAGAGCTATTTAAATATTCTTTGTCAGGTAAAATTAAGATTGTGTTTTCAGGAAATATAACTTTGCTAGTAAGAAATCACCATCAAATCTTGATTTTTGTGGTACTTCTCAGATTTGCTGATCAAGAAGTGCGGTCCATAGCTGTGACCTGGATTGAGGCTATAAGTGATGATGAGCTAACTGATCTTCTTCCGCAGTTTGTACAGGTGAGTTTTTTACTAAGTTACCCCTTCATCTTACTCTGCACCTATTTCTTATGAGTAGGGAACTTGCTAAAAAAAGGATCCTCCGTTTGTTTTGATTAAAAGTATTTTTATGGAAATGTTGAGGGTACATTATATTTGGATATAGTATAAATTTTTTGCCACTATTGTTAGCTGCTCCACTTGACTATCATATATGTGTACCTGGATTTTTAATTCTCATATTTTTAGATTCTCAGAACAAACCGGACTTGAGCTTTTCTTGGATTTTTCTTTGCTAGCTACATAAACATAACTAATGAATATTATTCCAAAATCTACACTTTTCTGCTTGACTTCATTAATTTAGCCTAAATTAACTCTTCTGTTTCATTTTTATCAGTGTTAGCTTACATTTTGCTTTATATAGTTTCTCTTTTGATAATTTTATCATAATAATGAAGTATGGGTTTGACCACTATAATTCTTATTTTCTTTTGTGTGTAGGCTTTGAAATATGAAATTTACTTGAACAGTTCATTAGTGCACTTCCTTCTGTCCAGAGCATTGGGAAATATACACATTGCACACAACTTATATTGGTAAGATTTAAAATTTTTAATTTATTTCCATTCCTAGTATTTATAGAGACGATATGCTCTGAAAGTCTAAATAGTATGCTCAGGCTACTTATTGTCAATACCAGATGTTTTATTAAGGGCATTATTATAAAGAGGCTAGATTTTTATCTCCTTAGAAATAAAACCAAAAATAGCAAAACTCTTTATTACAAAGATATTTGGCATGTTAGAGCTCCATAATAATGAATGAGTTTTCACTTGCTTTATATAGCTTCATTAAATTCCTGGATACCAAAAAATGAACCTAAGTTGAAATTCAGGAGACATTCATCCAGTTCTCAGAAGTGGCTGACATAAATATTTTACTGTATTAGGCTCCTCAAGGATGCTCTGCATGATGCACAGTTTGGTGCTCGATATGAACATGTTTTGGGTGCTCTCCTCTCAGTAGGAGGAAAAGGACTCAGAGAAGAACTTTTGAAGCAGACAAAACTTGTACAGCTTTTAGGAGGAGTAGCAGAAAAAGTAAGGCAGGCTAGTGGATCAGCCAGACAGGTATGTATCCAAAAGAAAAAACATAAATATTTTGATGTTAAAGGATCTCTATAGTTCTGATGAGTTATTCTTTATCAGTAGACATCCAATATAATCTAACTATACATACTATGCTGTTTTGAGCAGATGAATTCAAAGGTTGTTTCAAACCATAGGAAAAGATTTTACAACCTAACTCTTAAAGGTATTTTTTTTTCTTAAAGGTATTTTAATTCCAGTGCTTATGAATTCCTTTCTGGCCACAATTGTTCTCTTGAGTTTCTTTTTTATTATTTTGTTTTTTAACTTTTTTTTGTAACTTTAAAAGTAATGCAAGTATGAGTTGATACTAACGTTTGAAAAAAGGGTATCCTGGGTGGCTCAGTGCTTTAACGCCTGCCTTCGGCTCAGTGTGATCCTGGAGACCTGGGATCAAGTCCCACGTCAGGCTCCCTGCATGGAGCCTGCTTCTCCCTCTGCCTGTGTCTCTGCCTTTCTCTCTCTCAGTGTCTCTCATGAATAAATAAATCTTTAAAAAAAAATCTAAATAATAAGGAAATTTATAGAAAACAATTTTAATTACACTTTTAAAGATTTATTTATTCATGAGAGATACAGAGAAAGAGGCAGAAACATAGGCAGAGGGAGGAGCAGGTTCCCTGTGAGGAGCCTGATGTGGGACTCAATCCCAGGATCCCCACTGGGGCACCTAGGTGCCTCAGTGCTGAGGGTCTGCCTTTGGCACAGGTCTTGATCCCAGGGTCCTGGGATCGAGCCTTGAGTCAGGCTCCCTGCTCAGAGGGGAGCCTGCTTCTCCCTTTCCCTCTACTGCTGCCCCTGCTTGTACTCGCTCTCTCTGTCAAATAAATAAATAAAATCTTGGGGCAGCCTGGGTGGCTCAGTGGTTTACCACCGCCTTCAACCCAGGGCCTGATCCTGGGGACCCAGGATTGAGTCCCGCGTAGGGCTCCCTACATGAATGAAGCCTGCTTCTCCCTCTGCCTGTGTGTCTCTGTGCCTCTCTCTCTCTGTCTCTCTCATGAATAAAGAAATAAAATCTTAAATAAATAAATAATCTGTTTAAAAAATAAAATTTTAGATTAATTTAAAAATTAAAAATTTTCCAGTTTTCATTTTCTCCCTGTTATGTATCTATTATTCATGGTTTGCTTTATGTCTTTTCTGGTCTTTTATATGACTTTATACATATTTACACTTAAGTATATATACAAATGTTTGGAATTTTTTAAAAAATATGTAGAAAATGCAGATAGACACACATATACATATATATTGTTGTTGAGATAAAATTCACCTATTTAATTCATTGTCTTTTAGTATATTCACAATATTATGCAGCCACCACCACTAATTCCAGAACATTTTCATCACACCAAAAAGAAAGCTTGTACCCACTAACTTTTCCTTATTCCCTCCTTCTCTCAGGCCCTGGTAAGCATTAATTTGCTTTCTGTTCTGTGGATGTATCTCTTCTAGACATTTAAATGGAATTATGCAATATGTGGCCTCCCTGTCTGGTTTCTTTCACTTTACCTGATAATTTCAAAGTTTATCCATATTCTAACATGTATGAGTACTTCACTCCTTTTTATGGCTGAATAATGCTCCATTGTGTGGATAATACCACAGTTTGTTTATCCATTCATCAGTTGATGGACCTTTGGCTTGTTTCCACTATTTGGCTATTATGAATGATGCTGCTATAAACATTTGTGTGTAAATTTTTGTTTGAACACCTCTTTTCACTTTACCTAGGAGTGGAATTACTAGGTCATAAAGCAAGCCTATGTTTAACTTTTTGAGGAACCACCAAATTATTATCTAACGCAGCTTCATCATTTTATATTCCTACTAGAAATGTATGAGGATTCCAACTTCTCCACATCCTCACTAACATTTGTTTTTTTTCTACCTTAAAAAAAAAAATTGTAGTCCTCTTAGTGGGTATGAAGTAGTATCTCCTTGTGGTTTTGACTTGCATTTCCCTAATGAGTAATGATTTTTTAAAAAGATTTTATTTATTCATCAGAGGCACAGAGAGGGAGAACAGGCCCCACACAAGGAGCCTCATGTGGGACTCAATCCCAGGACCCCAGGATCAGTCCGTGAGCCAAAGGCAGACACTCAACCACTGAGCCATCAGGTGTTGCTGATTAATGATTTTGAACACATTTTTATGTTTTTGTTACTGCCTTTTGTATATTTTCTTTGGAGAAGTTTCTGTTCTAAGTTTTTTGGGTTTTTTTGTTTTGTTTTGTTTTTTTGATTGGTTTTTTATTGTTGTTGAATTGTTCTTTATATATTTGGAATATTAGACCCTTATCAAAGATACTGTTTGTAAGTATTTTCTCCCATTCTTTGAATTATCTTTCTATTTCCTCAAGTGTCCTTTGATGCACAAATTACTAATTTTTTGAAGTTTATTTTTCCTTTTGTTGCTTGTGCATTTGATGTCTAAGAATTTATTGTCAAATCCAAGGTCACAAAGATAAACACCTATGTTTTCTTCTAGGAGTTTTATAGTTTTGCTCTTATATAAGTCTTTGATCCATTTTGAGTATTTTTTTTATATGCTTTGAGGTAAGGATTCAGCTTCATTCTTTTACATATGATTATTAAGTTGTCTTAGCACCATTTGTTGTTTTGCCAGTTTTTCGTACAATTTCCTCCCTTCATAATGATAAAGTAGCCAAAATTTGTCTTAACTGGAGGATCTGTAAACACAAGGCTTATCTAGCCCACTTACAGGCAAGGCAAATGCTGCTTCATGAAATGGTCCCACTGTGGAACCTCTGGTCATCCAACCCAAGTCACCCCCTTGCCTGGCTTTATCTTCACTATAATGTGCAGCCATTGTATTTAATCTCAATCTGTACTTTAACTTCTCCATAGCTTCCATGATTTTCCCATATTTTTCATACAGAATGTATCTGCCACCACTTTTGGAACCCTGAGACTTCTTGTCAGAACTGTCACTCCCAGAGGCAACTCCACACTTTCCCCCTCCTTTACCGGAACTGCTTTTTCCTTTGAGCAGCATCTTCAAAACATCTCAGCACTATTTTTTGAAGAGACTATTCTTTCCCATGAATGATCTTGGCACCTTTGATGAAAATCAGTTGATCATAGACATGTAGGTTTATTTTTGGACTCTGAATTCTCTTCCATTGATTTATAAGATTATGTAAGCCATATTGTTTTCATTGTAGTTTTGTAGTAAGTTTTGAAATCAAAGTATGAGTCCTCCAACTTTGTTCTTTTTCAAGAGGTTTTTTTGGGCTATTCAAAAGTCCTTTGCAATTTTGTGTGAGTTTTAGGACCATCTTACACACTTCTGCAAAAAGGAAGTTGGAACTTTGATAAGAATTATGTTTAAAAAAAAAAAAAGAATTATGTTGAGTCTGTGGGGTGCCTGGGTGGGATGGCTCAGGTCAGGGATGACTCAGGTACTAGGATCAAGCCCTGAGTTGGGCTCCCTGCTCAGTGGGGATCCTGCTTCTCTCTCTCCCTCTGCTGTTCCCCCTGCTTGTGCTCTCTCACTCTCTCTGTCAAACAAACAAACAAATAAATAAGATCTTAAAAAAAAAAAAAAGAAATTGCATTGAACCTGTAGATAAATTTGGAAAATACTGCAATCTTAATAATATTAAGTCTTCTAATTCATGGACACGGTGTCTTTTCATCTAGATCTTTAACTTTCTTTCTTTCTTTCAATTTTATTTATATTTATATTTTTATATATATATAAAATTTTTACTTCATCTTAGAGAATTTGTATCAAGACATACAATTACACTCCATATTTCTTAATGGGTACATAATATTACCAGGTATTGTAGAATAAATTGTGAACCATTACCTCCGTGTAGGTTGTTTAGACATTTTTTTTTCCAGTCCTACAGTGAACTATAGTGTATAAGTTTTGGCCCCTTTGCTAGTACTTCCTCATAGGATATTCCTATAGGTGAAATAGCTGAGTCAAGAACTGTATGTATTTTTAGTTATATCTTTTTCTCCACCAATAGGTTATGAAAGTATTTTTTCCTGCCCTGTTGCTAGGACTGGGTGTTACCTTTAATTTTTAATCTGTTAGATGAAAAATTGCATCTCATTTCTGTTTAATTTCTATTTATTTGACTATTAGAGAGTTTTATTTATTTTTTTATTTGACTATTAGAGAGTTTTAATTAATATGTTAAGTAGGCCATATGTACTCACCCTCCCATGTGTGTAAGCCTTTGCCCATTCTAATTCTATTTTTATAGTAAAAATGAACTGTTTAGCAACAACTTGTTTTTATTTTATTTTAAAAATTTGTTAGATTTTAAAAATTGGGTTGGTCCACATCATAATTTTTTTGTCTTAAAAACAGGTCTTCATTTTCATTATGTACCTACAGTATCACTCTCTTTTCCTAGGTCGTCCTCCAAAGAAGTATGGAACGAGTACAGTCGTTTTTTCTGAGAAATAAATGCCGTCTTCCTCTCAATCCAAGTCTTGTTGCAAAAGAATTAAATATTAAGGTGACATATAAAATACTAATAAATTCATACTACATTTCAAAATAATTTGTAGGAAAAATTTGTAGGAAGAAAGGAGATGGGCTGATACAGCTACGGCAGATGAGGATAACATCTGCATAGGTTGGTTATAAGTATTTATGGATGTCTGTGTAAGATCCATGTTTACCTCAGTATATTTTTACTTAATCATAGTTTCTGAAAGAGAAAGCAATATAAAGTTATTTGGCGTCTCAAAATAAATTATTTTTTTACCATGGTTATAATAGCTACCTTGGTGGCTTATGTTGTGATTCCAGGCACAGATAGCATTTTCTTTTCCTCCTATGCGAACAGTTGGAGAGATTCTTTATAGGTTTATAACACTTTCTAGAGCATCAAAAAAGAGTTGAATAATCATCAGCACTGAGTAATTATACTTCAAACTGGGCCAGTAGTTATATACATAGTGTATTTTCTCTTAATGAATTCAGAAAAAGCAACCAATTAATTCGTGCATTAGTGTTCGTGGTTTTGAAAGGGTAGGATACAAGTATCCATAAAGGAGTCTCAGGTTTGATTTCTTTTGAAGTTGACATATGGCTACTCTTCACTGAAATTTAACAGTGGGTACCTGAGTTATGGGTCATTGGCAGGGGCCGGGGCCGTCACATTTTCTCCTTGGATTTGTTTGTTGTTTCCCTTTATTGGTCTGTCTGAAATTAGTTTTTTGAACTAGTTTCATTTTAAAATAAGATTTGATCTTTGCTAATGAAATTTTAAAATTTAGCGTCACTATGTTATTGCATGGCTAATTATTAATTATAAGAGTATCATAAAGTACTCTTATAAGTAGAGATCTCATCCTAGATCATACTCCTTTAGAAGAAAGGTAAGAGGGATCCCTGGGTGGCGCAGCGGTTTGGCGCCTGCCTTTGGCCCAGGGCGCGATCCTGGAGACCCGGGGATCGAATCCCACATCGGGCTCCTGCTGCATGGAGCCTGCTTCTCCCTCTGCCTATGTCTCTGCCTCTCTCTCTTTCTCTCTCTGTGACTATCATAAATAAATAAAAATTAAAAAAATTTTAAAAAAAGAAGAAAGGTAAGATTATACAAAGTTTTGTGCTGTGACGAGGAATTATAGTAACACTTTTAAAGCTCAAACTTTTAATAATTTTTGTCTCAAGTTTTTAAGGATTTGCTTCTGTCTAGAGAGTAATAGATGATATTTTACTCATGCTATGTTTAAGTTTCAAAAAGTATTTTTAAATATCTCTTATCTGCTAGATGATCTAAAAAGCAGTTCATTTAACATGAAATGTTATTTCATTTGCCATAAGTCAGCTGAACAAGTGATAGAAGAAATACTTAGGACAGAAAAGTCTTAAAGCCATTTTTATTCCAGTATTCTCTTTCTAATGCGTAACATGTTGTGTTTGTAGTCCTGTTCCTTCTTCAGTTCTAATGCTGTGCCCCTAAAAGTAACAATGGTGAATGCTGATCCAATGGGGGAAGAAATTAATGTCATGTTTAAGGTGAGCAAAATAAGGTTACTTTATTTTTATTTATTTTTTTAAGATTTTATTTATTTGAGGAAGAGAAGGTATGGAGAGAGCATGAGTGGGATGTGGAGGTAGAGGGAGAGACAGAGGATGAGGGACAAGTGGACTCTGCTGAGCAGGGAGCTCAGTGTGGGGCTCGATTCCAGGGATTATGACCTGAGCTGAAGGCAGACACTTCACGACTGAGCCACCCAGTCATCCCAAGATTACTTTGCTTTTAAAGGGTAATTCAAAAATTTTCTTTGGGGACACCTGGGTGTCTCAGGGCGTGATCCCAGGGTCCGGGATTGAGTCCCACGTTAGGCTCCTTGCAGGGAGCCTGCTTCTCCCTCTTCCTATGTCTCTGCCCCTCTCTGTGTGTCTCTCATGAATAAATAAATAAAATCTTTTTAAAAAAATTCTTTTCTCAAATTGCAAATATAATTTTATTTAATATTTAATTAAATTCAATAATTATGTGGAAAATTATTGCTGACATAAACTATTGCCAAACAGATATTGGAACAAATGCATTTCTGGGCTAGGGCTACTACATATGGCCATGCTGATTACGCATATCATAACTGCAGGCAGTGTGCCTTTCATATAGATTATGATGTGAATGGTACCCCCTAGAGTTGTGCAGTGTGACATAGCAAAACCATGGGCAATGGCACTGGTTTTTGGAAACATAGAACTTACCTGTGGGAAGCAGCAGGCATGGAGTACTACAGAGTAATCTATTACCAAAGTTCTGTGTGTGGTCATGATTTGTGCATTTTGAAGAAAGAATGGAGAGTTTTAGTTAATTCAATGAGTTCAATTGGTGGAGATTCACATATATATGTATATAAAAGATGGCTCAAGAGAAGCTATCTTTATGAACATATATATGTGTGTGTGTGTGTATATATATATATATATATAAAGTTCTCATAATTCAAATATGGTTTAGGACTTTATTTTACTAATGTATTTGCCTTTTCCTATAGCAGTACCATCTGCTTGAATACAGAAATTTTATTTTATTTATTTTTTTAAAGGATTTATACATGAGAGACACAGAAAAAAGGCAGAGGCATAGGCAGTGGGAGAAGCAGGCTCCTCGCAGGGAGCCCGATATGAGACTCAATCCCAGAACCCTGGCATCACACCCTGAGCTGAAGGCAGATGCTCAACTGCTTAGCTACCAAGGCATCCCGAATACAGAAATTTTATATATGTTAAGTTTTAATATTTGTTAAGGCTAATCTCCCCTAATTCTTTGGGTAATTTTCTTGACTAATCTCAAAAAATGTACTCATCATTATGAGTTTTAAAGTTATTTTATCCAATTTTAAAAAATACAATGAAAACTACATCTGATTCCAGTTAGAATTAATTTATTTTGGGAGGACTAACTTTTTAATTTTTATTTTTTGGGATCCCTGGGTGGCTCAGCGGTTTAGCGCCTGCCTTTGGCCCAGGGCGTGATCCCGGAGTCCCAGGATCAAGTCCTACATCAGGCTTCTTGCATGGATCCTGCTTCTCCCTCTGCCTTTGTCTGTGCTTCTCTCTCTCTCTCTCTCTTTCTCTCTCTCTCTCTCTCTCTCTGTGTCTCATGAATAAATAAATAAAATCTTTAAAAAATTTTTTTTTAAATTTTTTAAGTAAACTTTTAGTTTGATATAATTGTAGATTCATAGTCTGTTGCAAGAAATTAAACAGAGATCCTGGGTATCCTTTGTCCAGTTTCCCTCAATGTAACATCTTGCAAAACTAGCAAGCAACATCATAACCAGTGTATTGGCATCAATATAGTTAAGGTATGGAATATTTTGATCATGACAAAGATCCTCCATTTTGCCCCTTTGAAAAATAGAATATGATTCACAAACCATTAAATCTAACCTTTTAAAAAGCATATAGTTCAAGAAACTGAGACATGAATAAGTTAAATAATTTCCTCTGGAATGCTACAGAAAAATAAAAGGCACTTGTGTTTCATCTTACTCTTCACTCTTTTCCACCATTTCCCCCACCCCCTGCCTTTTACAATATGTAATGTAGTAAATATTTTGGAAAGGTACAGGTTCCACTTTGTTTCCTT